TATTACTTTGCAAAAGATTTATTACTAACTTATTAGCTATCAAAGAACTGCAAAAAAATTACACAAAGCCTTTAAAAAGGCTGGGTATGATTTTTTTCTTAATGAAGTTAGAGATTAGCTTAAAAGATAGGCTGTTCACCAAATTTATATGTCTTGTTCTAGATTTATTCAGTATACTTCCTTTAATAATATACAATTTTTAAATGAAATGCATTAATCTAATACTACTCTTATGTTTCATGATAAAGTAGATAATCAGATTTACAAGTATAAGGGCATTATCAAAGATATTATAACTAGATATTGATGTAATTTTGCATTAACTAATAAATCTTCTGCATAAATGGCTAAAAAAATTCAGAAAATTTACAATGATCCTAATGATCTTTTTAACCTACCTAAAGATTTTATTGTAGATAGAGGTACTGAATATATGAGTAAATGTAAAGATTTATTACTCAATTATAATATAAGAATTCAGTATGCTAACTTTAAATATGGTGTAACTATTGCTAAACGCGACCATCAAGAATTTAAAAAATATGCTTATTTTTAGCAAGATGCTGAAGATTTTCATTTGCCTTTGATTGATAGATCCAGAGCATGAGTTAAAGGACTTTATATAAATGATGATATTTTTAATAATTCTTCTACTCAGTTAATAACTATGTCTAATAAGGCTGTAAAAAGGCATTAAAAGGTAAAAAAATAATAACTAGACCTTCTGTTAAACATAGAAAACTAGTTGGTTATAATGAACCTCTTTTATCTAGTTATACAGAAGTTTGTCATCTTTTAAAACTTAGCAAATTAGAAGGTGGTAGAAGAAAGACAAATGATTGCAATTGGTCTTCTGAAGTTTTTATAACTAATTCTTTTTTGATAAAAGAAAACTAACCTGTTCTTTATAAGCTTTACAATGGTCCTAGACGCTCATTTGTAAGAGAAGAACTTTAAATTGTAAAGGATGCACAATTACCTTCAATAGATACTTAAGTATTAGACTTACTTCCTCTTTCTTCTACTAGATATATTATTTATTCGAAGTATTGCTTAAATAATCATCAATTTCAGCTTGATTGTATATTATAATTTGTTTATTTTATAACCAATCACTTCTTGTACTTTTTTTGTTTTATTTCCAGATTTATCATCTATGAGAAATTTACCTAATGAATATAAAGCAAACTTGAATTATTCACGCTTATCAAATTCTTTTTCAAATAATTCTCTAAATTGTTTTCTTCAGTTTTTTAAAATTTTCATATATTACTTTTATTATCAGAATGAGATTTAGGAACTTTTGTATAATACACTACTATAGCTCTTCTTTTAATCACTGTTCCTAATTCTTCTTGTTTTCTAAATTCTAAATTCTTTTCTGATTTTTTGTGTACCTTAATTTCTTCTAAACGTTTAAATTCTTTATTGATCAAATTCTTAGATATATTACCTTTCTTAAATAATTATGTTTTAGATTCAGAACCGTTTTTAGACTCTAATTCTTTTAATATCAGTAGGCAAACTTCCTCTGAATTATTTAGTTCAAGATCATGAAAAAGGATATTACAACTATTTAGATCATTTGCCTCATATGACTCAATACCCAGATCTAATTCTTTTTAACATTTTTGCAATCTTGCTCCTTATGTCTTAATTCGCTCTTTGAGTTTACATGCATTTGGACTGACCCAATTCTTTACCTTCTCTTCAGTAATATAGTCTCTTTTATGAATTAGTTCTGGCTTGAAAGTAGGGTCTTAAGCAGTCATTTGTAATTCAGGAGTTTGAACAGGCTCTCAAATGAGATGTTGCTTAAATTTTTGAATGAACAATAGAATTAGCACTTTAGTAAAAGCTATATCCTTTCACTCTTGTAATGGTTTACATGAATTTTTTTGTTTAAAATGCTTACAAAGTTTTTGGGGTATTGAACATTCATGATCACAACGTTTATAGATTATATCTTTTTTATCAGTTCTTGTTTTTTAATCATGATGTTAGCTCTAATTGGCATACTATTACTTGCTTATATAATTTTTTCTTTAATTATTTATTTCTTATATACCTATCACTTTTCGATCATATAAACTCTATTAAAGATAAGTATTTACAAGCTTTCTGAAAACTGAAGTATTAACTAATTATTAATTAATCTTTTTGAATTTAGTAATAAAAAAGTAGGATGGTCAGTGAATATTCTTGCCCATTTCTCTATAATATTGGAAAGGCTTGTGAGAATGCTAGTACTAGGCCTGAAGGATGTTGATTCTATTGGAAGGCTAAAAAATGTATATCTTATTCTGATTGTGAAAAGCTTATAGCCTCTGCTTATGCACGATATTCATTACATATTAGAGGTTATTATATTACCCGATACTATGATAGACTTTGATAAGAAAGAACTTATATTAGTCAATTCTATATTAACCAATTCTATGATAGACTTCGATCAAAATACGAGAAAAAAATTATGAAAAAATAATGAATACCTATAGAAATACGCTTATAAATCTTAATATTTCTCTTTACAGAAAATGTCTTATTTTGATAAAATTGGGAGAAGGAGATTATTGTGTTAGTTGTCAATCAGAATAAATAAAAAGATTATTTCAGCTAACTTAAATTTTAAACGTAATATCCAATGAGTATTTGCTAAATTTTTGTTAGACTTGCTTTTTTATATTTTTTTATGATTAATATATCATTTGATGAGTTAGCCTATGTTAAACTCGTTCTTGACTAAGAAAAAGTTAGGATAATTTTGCGAATTTTTCTGAATTTTTGCAGGGATGACATTTTGTTAAACTTTTATATAAAATATGTTTTTTACTAAGCTAGCCTACATTAAATCCATTCTTGATTAAGAAAAAGTTAGGACAAAAATCTTGTTAAATTTATTTAACAATTATGCTATTTAATGAGCTAACTTATATAGAAGGCATTCTTATATATAAAATAGTTTATTAAGTTTAAAAAATCACATGATTTTTCGTTAGACTTATTTATAAATTTTCGTTAGACTTGAGAAAACTGTTAGACTTATTTATGAGATAATAAAAACTATTAAACTTATTTTATTAGACTTATTTAAAAAATATACTAATTAATGTGCTAGCCCTTGTAGAATCAATTCCTGATATATTTATTTTTGTTCGACTTATTTTTTATTAAATTTATTTACAATATAGAAATTATAATTCTAGAAGTCTTAGAAGCTTTTCTAATATATAATAAAAAAATTGATATAGAAATTAATCTTCTAAACTGACTAGAAGCTTTTCTAAAATAATATAGAAATCAAGATTTTAGAGCTTTTAGAAACTTTTCTAATATAATAAAAATCGATATAGATTTTACGAGTGAATAAGACACACAAAGTCATTAGGAGTTGTGTGACTTCGTTCTAAAATCCTCATAATGATATTGTGTAATTCCTTATGATAGTTTATCTAATAATAAATTCTTTAATGATAATAATTTTGGTTGTAGTTCTTTTGATTGTAATTCTGATAATTTAATATTAATAAAACTATAAAAAATTAAAATTAAAATAAAACTTAAAAATAAATACTTAACTTTATAATATAAATTGCAATTTATAGCTATTTAATATTATTTATAATTTATTAAAGAATATATAAAATCAGTTGTTATAAACTTTTTAGATCAAAGAATATGGTTTACTTATTATATTAAAAATTAGACTAAAATGTTTATTTAATATAATGATGTTTTTAATAATAATGTGAAAAATATTTTAAAGAAAGTAGTATCTCAATGATGATAATATTCAATTAAAAATAGCATTGTATTTATAATAATATAAATTTAATATAATTGTTAAAAATTTTTATAATTATATATTAATAAAATTTTGCTTTTATTAATATAAAATAAATTAAAATCAAGTATTTATTTTATTATATTTATATTTTATAAATTATTTTATTAATATATATTTTATTAATAATCTTAATGTTTTATAATAAATCTATAACAATTTAATGGTAAAAAAAGTGATTTATTTTAATTAATATATAAAAAAATATATAAGTATTTTGTAGTGAAAATAGAGGAAAGCTATCAAAAAAATTTTTTTTACTTTATAAACTAAAGAATATTTTTTAATAAAATGAATTCAAATTTTATATTAATCAAAAAATTTTTGGTAGTTTTTTATTCTACTATAAAGTATCTATATTAATGATCACAAAAATAATAATATTATTATTTGTTAAAATAAATTATATTTTAGTAATAAATTTATTTTATTTAATTTAATATAGTTTTTTATATTTATTTTTAATGCTAAAATATATTGATAAGAAGCTAAGATTAAGATTGATTCAGAATTAAACAATTACATGTTTTTGTTATTTATAATAAAATAACTTTTTAAATAAATGATAGGTTGGCAATTATACCTAATAAAAAATTTGATATAAAAATTCCATAAACATAAAAATATTAAGTTTTATAACGTGTAATTTTATGGAATTTCAGTATAATGTATACATTTTTCTTAAGTAGAAACTCTTAAACTTAATATGGAAAAGTGGAAAAAACATATATAAAAAATAAGGAAAAAACATATATTTTATAATAATTTAACTGATGCAAAAATCACAGACAAAACATATATTTTATAATGCTTTAACAGATGCAAAAATCATGGAAAATATTTAACAAAATTACAATTATATATGGAAATGATTACAAGAAATGGTTCCAAAAGCATTAGAATCAGTTTAAATTATATATGTAAATATGCTCAAAAATCAACCAAATTTATGGAATGCTATCAGATCTTGTTTTTTGAAAATATTGATAAATTAATAAATAAAATAAAGTTTTATTTCACAATTTAAATTTTAAACTTTCGGTAATTTAAATTATAGCAAATCACAAATCGATTTAGTGTTTATCATGTGATTACTAAATTAGGATTATCTTCCGCCAGTATCGCCAGAAAATCTCCGCGTTTCCATTTTTTATAATTATTCCGGGGACATTGGGTTTGTTATATCTCTGAAAAATGTAAATAATTCACTAACCTGGGATTGGTTACGACGCTGGGTGGCTGATAATAAATTGATATTAGGTAACTTCGAATTTTTTTTTGACTCTGATATATGTAAATAATTCACTAACCTGGGGTGAGGGAAACTTTTTTTTTTAACGATTTTCTCCCTTAAATCAAAATGAGAGTTATAAATGAAATACAAACAAAAATTTTATGAGAAAAAAATTTTTTTTACCTGAATTTTGTTTTCTAATATATTTCCATAAAAGAACTTCATAATAATCCTCATCAAAGACTTTTTTAAAAGGTTTAACATGATCGAAGAATTCATCTGACGTACACAATGAAAATTGAACGGAGGAGATACATGGACTTAGAGTTTCTTTCAATCTCAAAAAATTTTCTTGAGTCCAGGTCTTTGGATCTTCATCAAAATTGATAGTTGAATTTCGAGCGATCCCCCATTGTTTTACAAACTTCCAAATTTCAATTTCTTTAAATTTAAATATTTTCTTTTCCAGTAACATTTTCAACACATTTTCATCTAACAAAGTAAAATCACCTGATTCTAAAAGTGTTGATGGTTTTTCTTGAATTGTTTTGTTGCAATATTTTTTGAGCTTTTTACAAGATTCTTGTTGTAATGTGCATAAATAAATTTTAACAAAATGATTACTTATCTTCGATATAACCAACTAATTCATTTAAAATGAATTCATTAGCGGCAACAAGTACATCCATCAATTCTCCCGAATTGAAATTTACGAGGGAGATGCTACCACTATAAATATATTTTAAGACAACGTCAAATACTTTGGGTGAAACGTTTGGTTTCTCGAATAGAAATTTGTCATTTTTTTTTTCGCAATTTTTTAAAGCCGAGAGAAAATAAGGGGATTGTGCTTTGAGAATCACGGAATGAGCGTTAAAAGTTTTTAAGGATGGTCCTTCACCGGCATTTATGATAACATTATATTCATCAGAATCTTCGAGGAGTTTTGCGTAATTATTGAGGATAATTAATTTTTTATCCATATTTATTTTTCTGTGGGAAGATGAACCAAAAAGAAGCCACATTAAAAATCAAAATGCTTTGTGTAGTACAAGACCCGTGTAACCGATTTTATTAAAAAGATTCGTTAGCGCAGCGAACATCACTGCGCCATAAAATATTGGCTTATTGTTTTAAATTAACATGCTGGTCTACGAACTACGTTAGAATAAAAATTTCATCAAGGATAAAACAAACAATGTGGCAAAAGCTTCCAATTTAAAGTCACCAACGAATCTAACGGCACTCGAGCCAGGAGTACTCGAAGGATTAGCCGCAGCAATTGGAGTTGGTTCAGTTCCTCCAACGTAAATAACCCCCCACATGCCATTCGCACAATGTTTTGCTACACTACAAAGGTAATAAAGCGTTGCGTTTGAATCTGTGATTGGTAATTCAAATCCATTGACTGGATTTGTTGTGGATTTGACTTTAAAAAAAAAAAAAAAAAAAATTAATAAAGTGAAAAGTAAAAAACCTTTTTTTTTTTAAAAAAAAAAAAAAAAAAAATTCAGAAATACTAACAAGATTTTTCATTTTGACTTAGTTCACATGAGCTGAGTCCATTACTTTGAACAACATTATGCATTCCACCTTCAAACTCCCATCGAATCTATTAAAGAAAAGGGAAAATTCTATCAAGTTAATCTTTTTTTTTTTTTTTAAAAAAAAACTTTTAAAGCACTTACAACATCTCCTTGAACAGCTGTTATGTTTTGAGGGACAAATCTTAACAATCCATTTCCACCGACTTTGACGATTTTTGTTTCAGCATAAACATACGTAACGATTAAGAAGAAAGCACAACAAAGGGTAATTAATTTGACGATGTTTATTTGTTGGGCCATTATGATTGATTTATAATTTTACTAGTTTTATCGTCAATATTTTCTTCAAAAATAATGCTTCTCCTATATTTCCGTTCTTACTCCAAAAAAAAAACCTTCTATAAGTTTATATTATTATTCTATTAACGTAAAGAACTAATTATTTTTCGAACGAAAAGACGAAATAAAAACAATAATTAAAGAACGCCAAAAAGCGTTCTTTATATATATTTTTTTAGACATTAAAATTTTCCAAATCGGGGATTTTGATCAAAAAAGGAACGCAGGAACGCCCCTGCATTACTTTTTATTGAACAAATTTGCAGAATGTTTGTTGAACAAAATAAATTGTTCAATTAAATGAATTAAATGAAAAAAAAAACGAACGATTTTTTTTTTTTTAGGAAATCAGAAAAAAAAAACCTCGGAAAAATTAAAAATTTAAGATGAAACGATAATAAAATAAATTGTACACACTCTCATTTATCAATCGATGTCAGTTATACCAGTTCGCATTATATAACTATATCTATTTAGTGTATACACGAGATATTTTTAGATATGGAGTCTAACGTCCGATGGAAATGATTATCCCAATTGAACATAAATCAGATTTCCCAATTTAGTATGTTTGATAAAGGTCAGGAGATCACAATGTTTTTATTGGAATTTCTTTCTTGTATTATTTTTATTATTTTTGAAACATTATAAATATTGTATGTAATTGTCATTTACCAAATAAATAATTTGAAATGGCACTTCAGGAACGAAGGTTAATTTTCAAATTATTTCGAATATTAACATTCGTATCAACGTTAAGCTGTTTAATATTGGGTATATTTTTCTCGGGAAAAAAAATAAAAAAAAATATTGAAAGTTCTCACGAGCCCTTTTTAAATTTTTCGCAGAGATTGCTGGGGTGATTTCATACACGATTTATTACACTGCATCAAAACTACATTTATACTTTACCGATCAAGGGTGGTTCATTATTTTCATTATTATAATACGCGGCACGATGACATTTATTTCTATTTAAGGCATTTTATTTATAGAAAATTAAAATTATACATGTAGATTTTCGATCCATGGAATAAAAATATATTTTTTGCTTGTCACTTTGATAGGATTTTATACGAGCGGTAAGTCCCCTAATTCTTCGCGGCCTGTTTACGAGAATTACTGTATAATTTTTTTGTTAAAGCCTTTTCATTCTAAAGGGTATTACGTGATCACGTTTGAGACGAGGTGGAAAAATGGTCTTCCTAAAACCGATATCTTATTTGACTTGTAAGTTTTAAAATCTAAAAATAAGTTGATCGTCATTAAATTCGTTTATCAATTCTCGAATCGTTTACTTTTTAGCTTGTTGATTGCATTATGGTCCACGTCGGGTAAATTCAATTCCTTTTAACAGATTCTTAAAGTTCCCTTCCCTAAATTTCTATTCTTAATCCCAAATATAGCATTGACAAACTTCATCCCTGCTTACAAGGGTAACCTATTGATTTGCCTTGATTCCCCGTCAGAATTTCATGCGAAACGTCGTGTATTCCATCAAGTATATTGTTACACCCATTTATTAAGCATCTTTTTGGGAATTTTAAATATACTGCTCTACCTTATAACCGCATTTTTAACGGTAGCTTTATTTGCACAAATTCGTACGCTTGAATTAAATTCGTTTAACATATCTAATCAAAGGCTAAGCGTAGGATCAAGTGGTCATAGTCTTTATAATAATTATGGTGATGGTCGTGGTGGTGGTGGTCGTGGTGGTGAACATTATTACCATGGAGGTAAAAGAGGAAGTTTTAATGATGTAAGCATAATTAATAGCAACAGAAGAAGTGGAGATTCTTTTTATAATCACGTAAATAACGGACATTCTTATCATAATTGGCAATAGGTAAATTCGAAAATTTAGTTAATGGTAAATGTTGAATTCAAAGTTGTATCATTAATATAATGCGCTAAATAGTTTAATAAAATTTCCCTTTCTCGTATGAAGATAATATTTTACGACACGTTTGTTTACATTACACGTTAATAATGTTTTCTTCCTAGTGATGGTGACCCTGAACCTTATTATATTTTTATATTATTTTTGACGAAACAATTCTTTAAAAACGATTACATTACAATCTAAATAATCACAAAGCTAAAAGTGAAAGATATTATTCTGAAAACCATACCAATCCTTTGTTGATTTCACTTAAATCTTGAGAGACCGTCAAGCGTGTTCAAAATGAAAAAGTACCTTGGGATAATTCGCATGGATAATAATATAAAACTAAGGGTAAAATCTTAAAGGTTAGGACAATTTTGGCAATATTATGGTAGACCATACCTCCGAACTATTATTAAATAACTACTATTGATATTCTGAAATATATTTTCCAGCTGATTTAAGTTTACGAGAATTTCTTTCTTTAAAAAAAAATATTTATAATGTTTATATATAAATAAATATATAAAAAATATATAAATATATATATATCCAAGTAATTGATGTGTTCGAGGAATTTCTGATAAAAAAATAATACTCCATAATCATCAGAAAAAAGTTTCCTCGCAAAATACCTGTAGAAAAAAAATTTTTTTTTTTTTTTCTTCTTTTTTTTTTTTATGGCAAAAAAAATACAAATTTTTTTTTAATAAAAAAAAAAAATTTGTTGTTAACCACTTGGCTGACTCATAACACACTCCTATACTGCTCATATTTTCCAGTAGTAACATGTTTAATGACGCCAAAGGTTGAATTGGCTTCATGGGTTATAATCTTATCAATTACCTTTTCATCGTCTTATCGATAGAAGAATACATCTTTCTTAGAAATGATAGAAAAAATCATTCATTTGGAACGACAACAATACCGTTCTAAGAATGATAAAAACAATCATTTCAATAGAATGATAAAAAATATATCATTATAAAGGAATGCTAGATATTTCATTTCAATAGAACATTAACAATATTATTCTCATGAGAAAAACCAAAATAATCATTCTAATAACAATATTGTCTAAATCAATTCATAATGTTCGCTCTTTTATCAACATCACTCTCTTGTCTCCCTTCATAACTTAGATGTAATAGGAAACTAATTTTAAATACAATGATTCAAAATAATTACATCTCATATATTCTTCTTTTTTACCTCCTTTTTGTTTTATCACAACGATAACAATCTATTTATTATCAGCTAAAACTTAAACTTGTAAACCACGTTTATAATTATTATTAATTATATTATTTATATTAAACTTACAATTTGGCAAGAAACAAAAACTTAGAATTATGGTTTCTATTAGATATTAATATAAGGAAGGCAATATAGGCTTCTCTTATAAAATTAATATACTAAATCCTTAAGGACAATTTTAATACTGATATAAATAAAAAATTAACTTTTACCAATATTCTCTATTTGATATTTTACTCTCAAATATAATTCAAATAAAATAAATTTATCATACTTTTTCATTATCAATTATTTCATTATCAATTGACTATATTTGATTTCATTTAATTTAACATTAGATCTCTTATATTATTATACTAAAGATTAATTAATATCTTAGATGTTAATATAACTTTCTTAATATTAAATCAATAAAAAATAATACTTTATAAAAAATGCTTAAATTATAGAAAATAACTAAAAAAATTTAGTAATAAAATAAATATTTTTATAAATAATTTTTAATTATATTTTATTAGTAATATTATTCTTTGAATATAATTTTATTATAAGTATATTTAATTAAATCATCAAATAATATAACTTATCTTATAAATTAAAAAATTAATACAATTATTCTATAATATTTATACTATTATAAATCTAAAATTTTTATAAATTTAAAATTTAATTAAAAAGGAATAATATGATAAATTTATTATCAATAATAATTAACATTAATAAAATAAATTTTTATTAGTTAATATAAAATATTATATAATAATAATCAATAGAAAATAAAGAAATCTAAATTTGATTAAAAATTTTTTAATTTAATTGATTACAATTAGAAATTAAATTAGTAAAAATTTTCAGATTTTCTTTTTTATTAATATCTTTTCATATATTTATTATTTATTATAACTTGATTTATTAGTTTGAAATTAAGTTAAAAATTTTATATTTCTATGCAAAGTATTTAATATTTAATATTCACTTGCTTAATAATTAAGTTAATGTTAATTAGTTTTTGCCAATATTTTTTTAGTTTGATTATTCTAAACTTAACAATAATTCCTGTTTTTTAATCATATTATTTATTAATTATTTATTAAATATAAATTTATTTTTATTTAATAAAATTGAATAAATAATAATATAAATAATTCTTATTAAATTTTTTTAATAATATTTATCAATATTATTATTTAACAATAGATTACTTATTTATTATAAAATATACGTATTAATTATTTTATTAATTTATTTATAAATAAAATTAAGATAAATATATATCTAGTACAAGTGCAAAATAATTAAATCTAGTATGATATATTAAAATTTTAAGTAAAATGAAAAAGATATATATAGCATTTTCTAATATAAATAAAATTATATTATAAATAAATTCTATATGAAAAAACTAGCTTTATTTTTATAATTAATTATTATCTTTATTATTATTCTTATTTTTCTTATTATATTTATTCTTTTCTAATAAATTTAATAAAAGTATTATTCATAAAATTAATATCATTAGTTTCATAAATATTATAAGCTTTAATAAATATATATTCTGTTAAAACTAATTTTATTAATAATAAAAAAATACAAAACATAAAAATATACTTTAGTATAAATTAATGAAATTTTAATTAAATTGTATTTATATAATTAAAATTAATTAGTACTAAAGTATATATAGAAGATATAGAATATATTAGTATAGATAAAGAAAATAATGCTGTTACTTTTGAAAACATTTTTAAAGATATTAAGTTTAATAGTCTAGATTATAAGTTAATTTAAAATTAAACTAAAAATTTTATTTTAATTTAGTTCAGATTATTAATCTTAAAAATACCAATTCTAAATTGAATCAAACTATAAATTAATAAAAATCTAAATTGAACTGAAAATTTCAGATTAATCTAAAATTTTAGATAATTTATTCTAAATAAATAATAAAATAATTAAAAATCATTGTTTAGAATGATATAATATTATTTCAGATAAATAATAAGAAAATTGTTTATTTAAAATAATAAATAAAAGAAAATTATTTATTAGAAATAATAATATCAATCATTCTAAATAAATAATAAGAAAATCATTTATTTGAAAAGATAATAACATTATTTTAAACGAACAATAAAAATTTATTTATTTAAAATGATAATAATATCATTCTAGATGAATGATAAGAAAGTTATTTATTTAAAATAATAATAATATCATTTCAGATAAATGATAAAAAATTATTTATTTAAAATGATAATAATATTATTTAAACAAATAATAAGAAAATTGTTTATTGAAATGATAATAATATTATTTTAAATGAGTGATAAGAAAATCATTTATTAGGAATAATTAATATAAACATTTTAAATAAATTATAAGAAAATCATTTATTTAGAATAATAATAATATCATTCTAAATAAATAATAAGAAAATTATTTGTTAAAATGATAATAACTTCATTTCAAATAAACTTGTTTATTTAGAATGGTTATATAAATGTAATATTCTAAATAAATGATTCTTTTATCCTTTTATTATTTGTTTAAAATGATAATTTCAATTATTTTAAATAAATACTTTTCTTTTTATTTGTTTAAAATGATAATTTTAATCATTTCAAATAAATGATTTACTTATCATCATTTGAAATAAACTATCTAAAATTAATCTAAAAGTTTTAGTTCAGTTCAGATTTTTTTTAGTTTAGATTAGATTTATAATTTGAAAAAAATCTGAATTGAATTGAAAATTTTCAGATTGATTTTTTTGCAATCTGAAATTGAACTAAAGTTAATTCAAATTAAAAATTTTAGATTAATTTGAACTATTTAGAACTTTATATTTATTAATGCTAATCTTGCATTTAATATATCAATTCCAGTTATCTTTTTGAATTACTATATATTTTATATTGTGTAAAATTTATCTAAAAATCTAAAAGCAAAATTAAATAAAAAATAAAATGATTTTGTTAAATAATTCTATCAATATAGTAATAATTTATGTGAATTATTATTTAAGAAAAGATAAAACAAATTACTTAATAATTATTTAATAGCAAAAGATTATCTCTTACATATCTTAAATCAAAATGTTAAATTCTGAACTTATGCTTATCTTTATAAAATTTTCATAACTAGCATTAAAAATATCATAAGAGTTAAAAAATATAATTAGATTTAAAATAATAACTAAAGTTAAATGATTTATATAAATTTTATTAATCAGATTGATTTAAAATTAAAAGAAGAAGAACATAAAATAAGTTTCATAAATATAAATAATCCATTACAACAAATATTATTTTTATATATAAACAAAAATTATTTTTTATAATAACAAAGATTCTTAATAAATATTTTATTGAACTTATTAGTAATATAATTAAAATAAAAATTTTTAAATATCTTTTTATTAATATATATATAATTGAGTCTAATAATATTATATATAAGTATGTTATATAAGTTATATGTTAAACTTATCATATCAATTAATAATTTCTTATTATTTAAAAGAAATCTTGATAAAACATCAAAGAATTTATTAAAGACTAACATAATGTACATTTTTAATATATTTTAAATTATGATTGAAGAAGTAGAATGAGAAAAAGTATTAGAAATATGAAAGTTGTAATTATATAAAGTAAAAAAAGACATAATATACACTTTATTATTATTATTAACAAAGTTTCTTACTTATATTTATATTTCAAGTCTATCTTAAAAGAATTATATGTCACTATTAATATGATATTTCAAAGATAATATAAGAATATATATTAAGATAAGTTAGATTTATAAGAAAAAATAATTGGATTTTATAACAATAAATTTACAGATGAAGGTATCTTATTAGTATAAAAGCTTAAAATAATTCTAACAATTTTTTCTATACTTTAGAAAAATTATTTATAAGAGATTTTATATGATCATTTATGAGGATTAACCTAAATTATTACTTTGTTTGCAGTTGAGTAAGAAGATGATAAAATAATTACTTTTTTTTAAGATTATATTAGATGAATATTTAATTAAAAAGTTAGTAATAGTTCTGCTAATTTCATTATTACTAAAAGTTTAAGTCTTTCTATTTTTTCTATTGATAAAAGATTTGCTATTAATTGATTATTAACAATATTGTTTATATTAGTAAAATAATCAATACTTTTCAAAAATTCAAATAATGAAGGTGATACTAATATTAGATTAAACTTTAAAATATAAAGAATCTGAATAAAATTATTATTAAAGAGTAATTACTTAAATAAAGATATATAAGTAATGTTAAAAAAATACAGAATTCTCAAGAAATATATAAAACTAGAGATTCTTATAAAAGTTATATTTATAATAGAATAAGATATAATACTATTTTTTATAAAAATGCAAGTAATAAATAAAAAGAAAAAAGAAAAATATAAATAGTATTACGAATAGATCTAAAAAATTTACAGAAAAAATATAATATCACGTTTATTATCAAATAAAATTTATAGTATTATGAAATAATGATATATAAATTTTAAAATCCTAAACACATTTTAAATTTTAAAGTTTTATTAATATTAAATAATTAAGTTAATCACAATACCAATTAAATTAGAGAAATAAGTTTTCTTTTTTTATAAAATTTATATATATTATATTTTAAGGTTAGATTTAAGTATTATAGAATAATGTTTTATCTAAATTTACACATTTTATAATATTTTATTATGATTAATATTGTTAAAAGTAAATATAATAAGCTATTAAAGGTTAATGATAATTTTTTAAATATAAAATTTTTTTAAAAAATTAAAAATTCTTAACTTATAAATAACTTTAGATTTTTTATTATATAATAAATAAATAAAATTATTATAATATAATATAGATTTATTTTAAAAAAATAAGATAATTGATTACAATAAAGTAAGATTTATTAAAATTTTATGATTTATAAGCTTATATAATTTATTTATTTATTTATCAATTTAATTTATATTATATAAAATAAATTTTAAAAAAAGAATCAAATTAATAATTTATAATTTTTAAGATAAATGAATATTGTATTTTTTTATAATAAATTCTGATCATAATAAAATAAATATAAAATTTAGTTTAATTTAAATTTAATATAAAATCAGAAGATTGTTTTAAATAGTGAATTTTCAAGTTATTTATTTATATAAAAAATTGATATAATATTTTCTTAATATAAAATAGCTAAATATAGATAAATCAGATATTAGTATTATAAGATTATAATACAATATTTTATTATATTAATAATTTTTCTTTATTATAAAAATATTTTTTAATTAAATTTACATCTATAAATAAATTTTTTGAATATTAATTTGATTCTTTTAATAAAATCTTATTCATAAGTTTTTATAAATTATATATTTAAGCATTACATTATATTATTAAATAAAAAGATTAAATAAGCTTAAACTAAAATTTATAGATATCAATAAATTTGCTATATTATTAAACAATTTTTAAATCAAATTAAACTAAAAGATTTAGATATAATGATTGAAGATGATGTAAAATTACTTATTTAAAACTTATGATTATCTATTTATTAGATTATTAGAATTATAATTTTACAATATTTATTAAAATTTAAAAAAGCTTTTATATATATATATTTATTATTTAATCTTTATATTTAGATACTTATAATAGAAATATATATTTGACATATTATTATATCTAGTATTATATGTTATATAGAATTTTTTTATTATAAAGTAAATATATTATTTAATAAATTATTTTAGAAATTTGTAAAAATATAAATTAACTTATAATAATAAATAGATAAAATCTATTATTTTATATAAAAATATAAAACAAAAAAATATAATAATTTTATTATAAATTTTTTGATTAAGAATTTTTTAAATTATTATATATAAAAAAAAAAGTAATTTGATTTTACATTATTTTTTTTATATATATTAATTGATTTTATATAAAAAATATAAAGTTATTTTATTATATTTATGAAATACTATAATATATTTGGTAAGTATTAATAGAATATAAAAAATTTTATTTCTATATTTATAATTATTTTCAAATAATTCATTTAAAAAAATTTTGTAAGATTATAAATAATAGCAACTTTTTGTTTAATAAATAAATATTAAAATACTTTTAAAATTGTAGATGAATTTTTATGAGATGAGTCAATTGACCATGTTTTTAATTAAATTTTAATAATTTATAATACATTACAACTCTAATTATCTTATACTAAGGGGGAATCATTAATGAGGTTTCACAATTTCCATTTAGATAAATTCTTTAAATGGATTCTATTCTTAAAAATGGATGATGAACAGGGAATCAAAATTAAATGAAATCCATTTTGAGGATAATTGTTTTAATTAAATATATTTCTATCTTTTTAATACAAAAAAAAAAAAAGAAATATGATACAAATTTTTTAACACAAATACAAAAAAAAATACATATAAAATTTTTTTTTAGATTACGATCTTGTACCACCTTGTGGTTAATAATGTGGATTCTGCTGATACCTTGCATTAGAATGTGCTTTTTGTTGCGAATGAGTTGTACGAGATGGATGTGGATTTCGTTGTGATGGAGGAATCGCATTTGTAGTTTGTTGTCGTGCAGTCTCATTTGGAGAAAAATGCGTTTTATGAGGTGAACGAGGTGGATATGGATTTCGTTGTGCTGGAGGAACCGCATTGTTATTTTGTTGTCGTGCAGTCTCAGTTGGAGCAAAATGCGTTTTATGAGGTGAACGAGGTGGATATGGATTTCGTTGTGCTGGAGGAACTGCATTGTTACTTTGTTTTCGTGCATTCTCGGTTGGAACGAAATTATTTTGAGGGAATTGTTGAGATTGCGGAGACACTGGATAAGAATCATAAGCGTTTTCTTCATAATATTGATATTCATCGTAAATAGCACCATATGGATCCACGTTGTTATAACCACCACCTTGATTTTGTGGTGGCATTTGCTGGTAAGGATATTGTTGTTGTTGTGGTTGTGGTTGATATGGAGGTGAAGCAGGATAAGGATTCCTTCCTGAATATTTAGTTGACGTTTCTGAATAGGCATTTGAATTATTACTGTCAGGTCTTGGGGGATATTCCATTCCAATAGGTTGATCGTATATTGGAACTATACCCAGTGATGCATTACTACCGCGCCTACCTCTATACGGAGCATTAAAGCCACCATTTTCCAAAGATGCTGTACTACCATTATTATGATTCGTGTAAATCCCTTGAGGAGGTGGGACATTATAATGTGGCACTTGATTTCGGGGAGCATTAGGTCTTCCCAATATATATGGGTCCGCTGGTGGCTTTGCGGCAAAGTTGTTGAACACCATTGGTGGAGGGTCATGATATGGGTGTATTGGAGGTGGAGTTGTGATATATGGTACTTTATTTTGAGCTGGATCATCAACATCAACATTTGGTATCGTGGGAGCCAATCCATCGAAATGGGTATTCACGGTCTTTGACTCCTTTTGAATTCTTTTATATTTTTGTCTTTTAAGAAGTTCGCTGATTCTAAATTATGTAGGTAAAAAAAAAAAAATTAATAAATTAGTTATAACTAGAAACATACGTAAAGAATGTGCGTGATGAGTTATTTACCTCTTATCAATTAAATGACAACAGTATTCTTTTAAATTCCCTCGAATCTTGCATAAAAGAGGAAGGTATAAAAGAAACGCAAATAACAACAAGCATGCAGATATAAAAAACACTGAAACGGTGAAAATAATGACGCTCATTGAAGCTCGCGTGAATATTGGACCATAAGCAGCAAAGTTTGTAGTAAAACCTTTTTCCTTGAAAATTGTGAACAAAGTCATAGCATTAACTACTTGACGTGGTCCATCACAAAATAATAAACGTTTCCATCCTACAAATAGGAATTTAAAATGAGTAAGCTGATATAAACATTGAATTATATATATCTATATATTATATATGTTTCCACACCATTACCTTTAAAAGAAAAAAATACAAAGAAAGCGATTTTATCTTGTCCTTTTTGTTGATTTCTTATTTCTTGAAAGAAACACCAATGAGCATAACTTGTTAACGTATAATAACGATAAGCCACTATACTTGTAAAGGCAAAAGAAATATCTCTTGAAGCTACAATTAATCGCGCTTTCCTAACTTCAAGTAATAATAATACGAATGAAATAAATATGGAACCTACAACAATCCATTTTGATATAATAAATGGAATTTTGGGTTTAACTCCTCCTGCCCATTTGTCAGTTACTAGTAAAGCACCTGCGTTATATATGTCAGCAATATAGACTAGAACTGATTTTAATACTATGAAAAATACAAATGAATACTTTGTTTTACTAATAAAATCATCTTTTTCAAACTCTTGTACATCGACAAAATCAAATTTATGATCCTGAACTTTTTCTCTTTTCCATTTGACCATTTTGAAAATATACTATTTAATTATATAACAAGGTTCACAGAACCTTTAATTATTTTCAAAAAGTCTCGTTAATCGATTATTAAAAATTATGCTAATAATTTAATAAATAATAAACTTGATATAACAACTTCATTACACATTTGTTTGGCAAAGATAATTTTTTTTGTATTTTAGGGAGAAAGGAAAAAATTTTTTATTTTTTTATTAATCATATTTAGAAATTCAGAGAGATATTACTTTTGTTGGTAATACAATCAATATGGATCATTTCCGTTTCTGTATGACAAATGAAAACCATTTTAATAATGACTTTGTAAGATTTGGTTGAGAAGTTTCATAATTTATCGTGAGTCCAATTGTCGTTTAATGAACCTTCCCTTATAAAGGAATGAAACTTGATAGAGTTGATCTACCACACACTAATCGTTAAAAGTTATATTTTTGGTTAATTAAATTCTCGATCGGACGTGGCTGAGTGTTTGGTGTTACAGCATTTAGTGCGCAAAAAAATATTCCAGGAATAATTAATGTTTGCAAAAATATGGGTTGAATCTCTTGAGAACAGGTGGAGTAGAAACTTCAGAACTTTGTCCAATACCAAGACTTTGATCAATAAGAATATCTTCCTCATCTCGAATTTCTAATCCGTAAAAACAAAAACAGAGAGTAAACATCGTTAAAAACATTATTACACTATCTATCCACATCAATAATAAATTATTTCTGCGCATTTTACACGCGTGTAATATTAATAAACGGTTTGATGACGATGTCGAGCACGAAAAAGGAATTTTTTCTAATTCATTCGTAGTTAAAACCGTGTACACCGCTGGGATTATTATCCACACTAATGATGTTATACTGTAACGAAACGGAAGAAGAATTTAATGAACCAACGATAGATAAATGAATAGTAAATATGATAAAAATTCCGTAAGAAGCTTACAATTGTACCAACGCAGTTCCTCCATCTCCCAAGATATTTGGTTCATTACTTGCTATTGAACAACACATTGATGTCACTATTGTCAAAAGAAAAGATTCTTGAATAAATAATTTTTATGTAATGTTGTAAATAAAAAATTCTTTACTTACGGTAACTTATGATTGTCGCTATTAATAAAAACAGATATCTAAGAGAAAAAGAAAAAAGGTTAATAAAAAAAGAGGTAAAAAAAAAAAAAAAGGACACAGAACTTACAAATACTCAATTGCTTCATTTTTTAAAATTATTTCATCACCATTATCCATAAATGCTTTTCGTTTTTCAATTGCTATCAACAAGAAAATCAGATCACAAATTGCCATTTTAGTTAATTATTTATTATTATCAAAATAAAATATAGCTTACCAAATACCAGACATGTTATTGTAACCGCTAATCCAAGTAAATAGACTAATACTAATATTATATACACTAAAGGTTTTTTCATTTTAAGTATTGCCATGTTAAAGAAGAAGTGTTGCGAAAAATCAAAAAAAAAAAAAGGGGAAGATGAAAATTTTATTATTTTATATTAATTTAATTATGTACAAGTGATATATTTATATATATTTATAGATCTTCGGCCGTAAGTAAAATAATCGAGTTTAGGGAAAAAAAAAACGAGATGATGATATTGTCCTTGTCCCTTTATGTTTGGGGCTAAAATTAATTGTTGTTTTTATTTTATTAAAATCAACTAGGAGATATTTACGTAGAAAGGTCCAAGTTTTTTTGGAAACCTCATATATTAAGAACCATATGGATTGATTGTCGCTACGGGATGATATTTTTTTTTCATAAAACTTGTATTTTTATAAATGGCCCCCCCTATTGTGACATAATTTGTTGCCAGGATTTTTTCACGTGAATCAGGATTTGGCATTATGTGTGTACGATAGAACTTTCTTAAATAGATGTATTAGAATATTCGTTAGTTCATTAATTTGTACACGTACATATTACATAATAAATAAATAATGCCAGTCCATTTTTTTTTGAAATTAATGTCACGTGGATTATGTAAGAGTTGAAGATAAAGTTAACAGATGGATTATGTTGCATTACGATGGTGCGAGTTGATCGTCCTTTTGTTCTATCATCATCAGAGAAAATAGTGTTATCGTTTAATTAAACCCAAAGAAACGCCCATTATAAATGTTCTACACAATAAATAATATGTTCTCTTTGGTCTATTTTGCAAAATGCCTTAATTTAATTATTTGAGATAAAAAGAATTTACCGGAAGAGGTCAAAATAAAAAAGAGAATCCTAGCAAATAGAAAAATAAGAAATATTAGCTTAAGCAATTCAATTTCTACATATATTTCGAAGCGATTTTCTTAAAGTTTACAAGGTAATAATAATAATTCCCTTTGAACATTCAAGAATTGGGTTTTATTAAATTATTACAACATTTCACCGAAGAATATTTTTTTCATTCACTCATTTAGCAGTTAAAATATGAGTTTATGTAACAAAATTTAATTTTTTTTACAGTTGATACCCCTGTGAGGTATATATAGCTAGTACATGTATGTCTGTTATTAAAAAAAGAAATCGTCATGTAACAATTTAGAAAAAAAGGTTGTTACAAAAAGAATGCAAGGGCTTTTTTTGAATTTATGCAGTGCGATGTCGTTTTATTTTAACTTTCTTCTTTGAAAAATTATAATAGTAAAAAAATTTTTTTTTATTTACAAAAAATGCAATTTACATGTTCCATGTTTTTTACAAAAATAAATAATTTAAAAAAAAAAACCCTCCACGCGAAACTCCTTTTTAAATACATGCGCCCTGACACTTAATTTACTTGCGTATTGCAAAATTTAAATGATCCTCGCCCTCGAAATCAAATCCCACTCACTTACAACGATGTTAAAAGATAACTGGGGCCGGTTCATGACTCGCCGTTGCAATGTTCTCCCAATATTGATCTACAAATTCATCACTAAATATTTCATAAAATACTTCGGGTAAAATTGCTGAAGTATAGACGTGAGCTGAAACGAGTTCCATAGAAGGTTGTTCTTGTTCTTGTTTGAAATATTTTTCGAATAATTCAATTGCATCTTGTGATTGTGATGAGGTTTCAAATAAAAATCGATTATTGGTCGTATCTTGAAATTTATCGATCAAGAAACTAAATGTAATAAATACGAGAATTGTTGATATAAAGAAATTTCGAGAATTTAAAGCCATAATTTATGAATTATTTTTTTTTTCTTTTTGAGAATTTTTTTGCTTAATGTGTGAAATTTTTCTTTACGAGAAAAAAAAAGAGATTTTTTTTTTTTTTTTTTTTTCCAATTTATGAGAAATCATCATCATCTTTTTATATCCTTATTCAAACACAATAGAAATACAAAATTACATTATAAGAGGAGTACAGAAAAACACGTGTTGGGTTAATTAATTCTTTTTTTGTCAGGAATTTTACCGGAAATTAACCAAGATTTATTTCTTGAATTGTGATAAATTTAGTTTAATTTGGGTTCTAAATAATTTAAAGTCTGAAGACAAAAGTTGCCACAAAAACTGCGGTTCAAAAATCATGTGACTGATCTGCATGAGTTCATTGTTGTTTACATTCATAAAATTATAAAAAGGGGGCCAGATTAACCAAATTAGATTCTTTTTTGTAGGTAGGGAAACCGTTTGTCTGACAGAACTTTTTTCCTCAAAAAAATTAATTATAAATAACTTAAAAACTTCCCTTGGTCAAACCAAGTAAGTTTTACCTACTTCTCTTTTTTTTTTTTTAAAAAAAAAAAATTTTTTTTTCATGGGAAAATATCGCAAAAAAGCGCAAATTAATCAAAAACTAATTTATTTCTTTTACACTTTTTTTTATTTATAAACAAGAGTTAAGCGTGTACAAAAAAAATGTTTAAAACCGATGGTAGAGCTGATCAGCATGGGATTCCGAGTTTCGTAAAAGTAAGTAGGTTTAGATGTGGCGCAGCAATTCTGCAAATTCTGCATCATTGTTGATACGGAAAACTGCTACTATATTAAGTGTTTGTGATACTTGATCCAGTTCAACATAAAGCCTATTAATCTTCTCTTTAAATACTTTTGATTTTTTTAAACAAAAAAACAGGAGTTGAATGATGATTTCCAGTGGGTGGATGATAATATTTCAGAGAGATCAGAAGAGGATTCAAAGAATGAATTATTTCGGATGGTTAATTCAAATCTTTCATTTTTTTTTTTAATTAATGATAATCTAACCTGATTTAAGTTCATTAATGCGATTGCGATTTTATCTAGATTGATATCGTTCCAAATGGCTATAACCGAACAATGTCGGGCCTTTTTTATGGAGCCTTAACTGTAAATTTCCAAACAGTATGTAAAGAAAAAATCATTTTTAATATTTAATATCGATGAAAAAAAAAATGGTTTTAACTTTAATTTATTTTAGTTTTATGATTATATTGGAGACTTTGATAAGGATGGATATGATCATATTATTTCACAATTGAAAAAAGTAGTCAGATATAAATGTTTCTCGTTATATTCCAGAGAAACCATACATCGAGTAAATATTTATCGTTGAAAATTAATTATTATTGTTGACCAATCATAATCAGTATGACTTAAAAATTATAAATTATTATATTAGATTATGTTGTTAATTGAAAATCTCGTGACAGATCACAGATCTGCTTTGGACGGGATTCCGGGACTATACGATGTCTGTGAATCCATACTACGGCAAATCAGAGGTATTTGATTTAAGAATAAATTTTTGTTATTTCCCCCATAGCTAAAATTTAATCATTTTCATTATTTCAGGGGGGGATATTTCTGAAACAAATGTATGGCTTAGCAATGAAGTTTTAGAGTTTTTCCAACGCGAGCTGTATATATCATTTTTTTTTTTAAAAAAAAAAAAATAAAATAAAAATAAATAATGAAAATTTTAATATCAATAATTTCAAGAAATGATTAGACGAATTTTTTTTTACTGACACGTTAATTTAATTTCATTATAGAATATGGCTTTATAACAATGAACGTCTGTTGCACATTACGTTTTATACTTTTACAAGTTTAATACGGGATCATCATGAGCCTATGCTAGAGAATTTAAGGGCAAAGGAAATAAAGTTTTGTAAAATGATATTTGATGTTCATGTATGTATTAAATTTCCTATTTGCTATTTAAACGTTCGAACATTATTATTTTATATATTTAATATATTATTTTTTGGTATGAATAGTTTAATTCTTTCTTTAAAATAGGCCGAGATTTATTAAGATTAATAAGAGATAATCGTAATGTTACCGAATTTTTATACGTGCTAAGCATGATTCCAGAAGATAGTGAGTTGTTGCTTTTGTTGTCTATTTTTAGTTTTCTGATAATTACATGCACTTTTTAAATTGTTACTGGTGCGCGACTTTAGTAAAAATAACCATCATGAAACAAAAAACCTTAAGTTATTGTTTAACAAGTCGCCTATCATATGACATGAGCGAGAGATTAACGCACATGTTGGAACAGGTAATTATTTACTTCTCGCTAAATATATTAAATGTATTTAACGGTTAGCATTCTTAAATATCATTTTATAGCACTCGCTGTTAGGTTTCAAACGAAAATTGGATTTTTTCAAAACAAATTTCCTAACACCTCCTGCAGATCCTCGTTTCCTAATTGCTGATATTATTCGATGGATAGTCAGCGCTTATCGTCCTAATAGCGAGAAAGCCATGAGTAATAGATATTTATTGATTAATCTTTTATTGCATGAAATAGGAGTAAGTGTCAATCGTTTGTTAACTTTTTTTTTTCCTTTTATTAAATTTAACATTTTTGATGTAATAATATATTCAGGGTAATTGGGATGCCATTGAATTAGCGAAAACGGCATTAGTTTATGATTGGTTGTGTTTTGAAAGAAATAACAGAGACCCTAATGTTATAAAAGAGGGTCTATATTGTATAGGTAAGTTACATTTCATTTGAAATTTATTAATACTTATGAATAAGTTAATAAAACTTAATAATTCATATAAATAATAAATAAATAAATAAATATATATATATATATCATTATTAGAACCTTGTATACAATTAATTGTAGAGAATGTCAAAACTAATAGCTTGAGAATTGCCAAAGATTTATTAGAAGCTCTCTATACTTCAATAAGCAATATCTTTCCTGGGATTGACAATGAACTTCGTGAGAATATCAGAGCATCATCTCAGATTGCAATTGCACGTAATATTATGACGTAGGTAGTTTTCTTGCTTGAAATGCACGATTATTCAAACCTAAATAACCTTGTATAACAAAAAAAAAAAAAAATAGAGTAGAGGATATCAAGATTATTCGTACAAAACTTAGTGATTTTGTCGGTGACAATCGAATTGTAAAGATTGTTGGCGATTTATGGGGTCATCTAATGAACACAATGCCAGTGACTCCTTCAGTCTTTCCATCTAATCCCCTACAAGCGGATCTAATAACAGGCTCGCCATTTTATCAACAATCAACATCATTACCTTTTAACCAATCGTCTCAAACTTCCATACAGTCAAATCTTTTGTCAATACGCAATCCTGTTCAGTCTTATGATAAGTCATCAGAGATAGATTCCCAATTAGAATCAGAAACAAAATTCATGAGCCTTGACAATCAGTTAATAAATTCAAAGAAACGTGAATTATCTGTGGATTCTGCTGTTCAGCCTTCGAACCCAGTCTCAAAATCGCTCGAGTCGAAACCAGTTGTAGAAGAAACATCATCCAACTTGATGACAAATTTTATACCATCTACGCGAGTTTCAGCTTCGTTACCATCAAATTCTGTGTCTGTTCCACAGAGTTTATGGTTTTATAAAAGCCTGCTGAAAAATTTTAAGGCAGCATCATTGGCAGGGAATTCGGCAGAAGAAATCCAACATTTGACGCAAATATTGGATCATTTTATGAAGGTATTATTTTACAAAAAAAAAAAATTAGTTATTCATATTTTATTTACTTTTATATTTTATATGTAGGGAGTTAAATTGGATGCTACAAATTCTCCACATCTTACGGATTTGCCTTCTTTTATTGGGCCTGACATTTGCCGAACATTAAATTTCGACGAACTTAACAAATGTTTTAACTTAAATTCTGAATGTCTTGAAATCAATCCATCTAAACAGAATTTATTTAATTGTTTAATATCTTGGGTCTTCAACCATAAGGATGAGAAAGATGAGAAGGAAAACAATTCACCTAAATTTAAGTCGTTTGAAATGTATAGACTTATTGTCAAAAACGATGAAAAAACGCATTCGGAAGCCCGGATAAAATTACTGGTCTATTGTCTTAGGTACATGATGTTCAAATTTCTCGTTAAAATTATCTGAAGATTCATCATTTATAATATGTTTTTTGTTTTTTTTTATATATATTATATTACATAGGTCATTAAAGTTGGATAAACTGGGAAGTGCATTCATTAAAGATTTTAAACTTCTGATTAACTTGTATCTTGAATATATAAACTATGAAGTTAAGCGCGAAGGCTCTCATCCAGATGTCGAGGAAGAAGTGAACAAACGTTTTTTGTCAGGAATTCAGGTAGGTATTCATTCTCATCACGAATATAATTATTATTTGGCTGCTTATGATTTATTGTTTCTTTATAGTTGTTGCAACAATATGAATGCAATGTTTTTGATTCTATTGTTCCCAAACTTTTACAAATCTGGCCCGAGATCTTTGTTGGAAATTTTGAATTCATAACGTCAATCATTCACGGAATAAATCCGATGCTTGTATGTAATTCCTTTTTATACATTTTATTTGTACACTACTAAAATATATCTAAATATATATTTTTTTTTTGTTAGATTTATAAATTCGAGACGGATTTACGACTAGGTCATTATAGAGTGTTTGGAGATTTGGATCTGGATTATGTTTTGGGTATGACTTTATTATGTTTTGTAGGTTTATAGATAATAAAACACTTTTGCAGTAGAAAGGGAGGAAAATTTTATTTTATTTTTTGTAATTTCCTCCTTTTCTACTTTTTTTTTTACTGCAAAGCACCCATAAATATTGGTTGATATAATTTAACGCAACTAACGTTTATCTATATACACATCAACTTTTTACGCAGAAAATTCATTAAATTGTTGGGGTTCATTTGAACAATTATACCTTTTCCAATTAATAAAAGCCGAGGTCGGAAATAATACCGAAAAACTTGAAAATTTTATATGTTCAAGCGTACAATTGAAATTCCTGGAACCAATAGGTAAATTTATTGTTTATAAATCATAACAAACCTTATTGTATGTTGTTTCAATCTACCATTAAGATGATCATTTTATTTAGAGCATCCTGAATCTTTGTGTGGGCTGTTATCTCTCCTTGAACTTATCCCCCCAACAGCGAAGAGTGTTTCATTCTTAACGAAACTAATTGCTAATGCGAAATTACTAGAGAGCAAGTTGGAAAATTTAAAGTTTGTCGCCTCAGTCTTTACTCGATGGAATGATAGTTTTCCTGAAAAGTTAATTGAAGCCATGACAGATGAGGTTTCCAAAAACATAAAGGAATCTGAGAATGACGAGAATGAAGCTAGTGATTTTTTTGATGTCATAGCAGAATTATGGAAAAATGAAAAACTCAAGCAAGGTTAGTAAATATCACGTTGATTATCATGTTATCCAATTCAACCAAATAATAAATTTTTTTTTTTTTATAATTATCCTTGCAGCCTTTAAAAAAATACTACCTAACTTTATGCTTTTAGGCAGTGCCGTCGGAAAGGAAATCGTATCTTTACAACGATCACCTGAGGCTGAGGATGATGGGGATCAAATGGAAGTTGATGATGGTGACGGTATGTATGCTAACGAAAATTTTAGGAGGCGCCAGTTAATCAACTAATCGACCAAATGCTTTTGAATGACTCAAGATCCGTTTTATGATCAACCAACCACCGCAGTTTCCACGATTTCTACTCGATCCAAAGGTAAAGCAAAACAGCTTGAGGTAGAGGATCGATCAAAGCGTTCTACAGGTCCATATAACAACAATCGCGCTCTTCGACAAAAAACTGACGCATCAAGTGAAGGAGAATCATCATCACATGAAAAAACTCAGAATCGTAAAGGCGTTAAGCCGAAGCGCGCGAAAAGAAAAGTTATCATTAATTCAGATGATTCAGATGAAGCAGAACAACCCGCTATCATTACCACTACCGCAGCTACCACTAATACTACTGGTAAGAACAACCGACAAACTAGAAAACGTCTTAATATTGCTTCACATAATACGGAAAGAAGAAAAAGTATATCAAGTGGAGGGGAAGAACCCAAAGAATCCAAGATGACCGGCAGAGGTGCTCGATCCAAATCCAAAAACAATTCTGCGTTAAATCGTTCTGAAACTTCAAGGGCATTATCTGTCACGCAAACAAGTATCAATCGTCGTAAAAGTATTAGCGGGTCAGGTTCAAAAAAAAGAAGCGCAAAGGATTCTTCTGATGAATAACCTGGCCGATTTTTTATTTTATTTTATTTCAGTTGTTTGAAAGAGAAATTGACAATATATATTTTTTTTGATGAAAATTTTTTTAATTGTAAATTATAAATTTTTTAAAAAAAGGAAAAATTAAAAAAAAATTATTAATGATATAAAAAAATTAATTTTAATTTTTAATTATTTATTAAAACATTATTAGAGAAGAATAGTTGATATTTTTGTACGTCTGTTGGAGATGAGATCAACATCTGACAATTTTTTTTTTTAAATTTTTTTGATCAACAATCAAAAAACATATAATAAAAAACTCTTTTCTTTTACTTAAAGAATCATAATGTCACGAGTTATCGCACCCGCTTCTAAATCACTTTTTAGAAGATTGTGGAGAGCAGGTGATTCGTCAGTATTATATTCAAGACCAGCTGTTTATTATGTTAGACAGAGGATTCGAGAGGGATTTGAAGAATATAAGAATGTAACTAATGAAAATATTTTAAATGATCTTTTTGAACGTTGTAAGTAATAAAAAAAAAAGATTTGTGACATTTTTATTGGTTTTAAGAAATGATTAATCGGTTTCCTTGGTAATGTTAGGCGAAAATACTATAAAATTCTTGGAAATTTCTGCTAAAAGAAAAGGATTTGAACATAAAGTTATTTATTCCTTGTGCGAAATGACTTACATTCAAAATAGATATAAAAGACGGTAAGATTGCGACTAATTTAACCCTCCCAAAAAAAAATAAAATAAAAATTCCTAAATTTTTTTTTTTTTTTTTTAGGCCTCCACATAGTAATAAAAGGTTAAGTTTAGAAATGTATAACATGCACGCTCATTCCTATGACGACTATTACTTGACCGTAAAGATGATGAATGATAACTTAAAATTATGTTTAAGATAGCGTTGTTGAATTTAAGGAATATACAGTATATAAAATTATTTGAACGTTCAACCCCGGCATTATTCATTCAGTTCCAGCATTATTCGTTTCGGATCCAGCATAATATTATTAATTCGTCCTAAAAGATTATTAGAATCTTCCAACTTACGAACACCAATATCGCGGGGACAAGGTATAGAAGTATATTTAATGAACCGAAAATTGAAATATAAAGAAACGAACTAAAGCAGATGAAAACTGGCATGATAAAGGATATTAAAAAAAAAAAAAGGATTGAAAATCAAAAAAAAAAAAAAAAACTGGATAGTAATATTTATTGTCTAACCATAAATTGTCCACGAGATTAATTCAAAGCTTTCAAAAAATAAGTTATTCTCGTGAGATTTTTAGAAAATTAAAAATTATCGGACTATGATTTATTTCGCAAAAAAATTTTCTCACATTTAGTGTCGCGAGAAAAGTTATAGTTTTTTATTCAATGAAATTTATACATTTTTTTTTAAAAAAAAATTTTCTTTGATAACGAATAAGTTTATTTTAAAATTAGAAATAAATAAAATGAAACAAGAAAAAGTATTGTTTATTATACCCACGGATATTTTTGATACTATTTTTACCCCTTTTGATGATGTAAGTGTATGGATCTCTCCATTCTTCAAACATTATGGTCGTCTTTTTTCACAGTGTTTTCTTTATAAAGGAATAAAATATATTAGTTAGTAAATTTGTCATGGGAAAAAATTTTTGATAAAAAGTCGTTGAGGAGGACTTGTAATGCGAAAAAAGTGATAAACAATCTGTTGGAGACTGAACTGAGAAAAAAATTTTGATAAATAGTCTGTTGCAGACAGAGACCGAGATGAAAAAAACGAAAAAAAGGAAAAAAAAAAAGACGATGATAATAGGAGAAAGATAACGTGATAACCTAAAGTCCACCCATTCGAAAATAAATGAACTCAACCGGCCGGTCGAAGCCAGGAATTCATTTCGCTCCTAGACGAAGACGTGTGAAAAAGTTCGTATGACGCAATCAAATAGATGATCGACAAATATATATAACGCTTTATTGTAAATATTTAAACTATGATAATTTATACATAATACATATAAAATAAAAATAGGATCAAAGCGCACGTTTCGCTACCGTAAAAATATATGTATTCACGTTCTTTTCAAAGAGATTTGGTATGAGATCACCCACATTTTCTGAAAGTCTCGTTCCCGAAAGAAGTGAAAAAAAAAACTCAAATAGTCTTCTAAATATGGTCACTTAAATAATGTTTAGCTTTACAATAAGGAAAGGAAATGGGTATTTTATATTACTCGATTAAATACATTGAAAGATTGCAGTCTTTCATTTTATTGATGTTCAATACACTAAATTTAGCTTTCTGACAATATTTTTGACATTTGTATTTATTATTTATTCATTACATAATTAAAATAATGAAAACTTTAATATATTTTTTCTTTGAGGGAAATAAAAATAAACGAAAATTAAAAAAATGATGTACGATATATGATATACAGTTGTAGGATCCTAGATAAAGCAGAATTTTTTTTAGTTAAGATCGTTCCGGACTTAACAACGGTTCCCGTTTCCCCAATTTTTGCTAAAATTTCTAATTAGTTCCAATTTATTCTATAGGATTACAAAATTCTGTCGATCGATTACGCATCATCCGTATTTGTACTTTTTACCACCCATCTCTATACGCGTTTTGTATATCATGATCATGTAGTGATGTCCTATGACTTACTTCATGGACTTAGTTAAGTCGTATAAATACAGTATATAAAAATATAAGTTTGCCAGTCTGTTTTCGCTTCCCCTTTTCTTGGTCTTGTTCTCCCTGTCGCTATATTCCTCTATTTTCTGCTTACTTTCTAACTCTAAATACTTTAACTGGCCTGCTTCGTGTCGTCTTTTAATTCTTTCAAAAACAACTCTTCAAAATCATCTTTTACATTCAAAACAACTTTTAAACAGCTTTTTATTTATTAATCATATCCTCTAGGATAAATGAATATCGTCTTTCTGACATTAAAAACTTATTTCATGATACGCAGCAAAAATGTGCAAATCGCAACTGGTAGTGTTATTTAACGGACAAAGAATTGAAGATTTTTTTTCAAATGAGTCCAATGTAAGTGTTTAAAATATTTCTTTTTTTAACGAAAAATTTTATTAATTTATTTTAAAAACCGTCAAATTTTATAAAAAGTTTAAACCAAGAAAAAGAGTTAAAAAAACAAAAAAAAGAAAAACGGAGTTTGAAGACCACAAGAACCCCTCAGGAACCTAACGAATCCAGGAACCCAACAAACTCAGGAACCCAACAAACCCCAACCCATAAGAACAAGCGTGATATGAATTTACTTTGTGGGCTAGATTAAAATTTTAAATAGAAAAATAAATCGTTAATAAAAAATTACTTACCCGAAAGCTATATTCACAAATTCGCAAAATAATTCTCTTGACCATTGAATCAATATATTGTTAAATCATCAAAAAAAAAAAAAATTAGATATTGTTTCGTAGCCACTTGACCAAAAAAATATTGGTAAAATTTCCTAATGTACCTGCCGTAGTCCTACTGAAGTGTACCTTTTCCGATCATCATAAATATAATTCACAAAAGAAGATCCTTTTCCTACAGGCTCCGCAAGTTCCACTATATGCGTCTAAAAAAAAAAATAAAAATTTTGCTATAGTTATAAAAAAATTAGTATTAACGAATCATATAAAGTGTATAATAAAGAAAATATTGTTATTAGTCCGGAACGTTAGCGGTATGACTCAAGATGTCCGGACTTAACAACGGTCCCCGTTCCCTAGTTTACTTTCAAACATCACGTTAAAAGTTAAATGCATCTAAATTTGGCAACTGCTCATACATTGATTTTGACTTAATATAATTTTTAGTAAGACTAACAAACGTCAAATGTCATCAAAAATTTTTTTTTCATTGAATGAAATACTTGGAACCGAAAGATCGAAAATAAATCAAAATCAAAAAGCTTGTCAAAAAAAAAAAAAAAAATTAGAGTAAATTTTTAACCACTTCGCTTCTTAAAATTCAGAATGTTTTACAATGATTCACTAACATGAGATAGTTCTATAAAATACTGCAAATAACATTCCTAAAAATTTCTTGTTGGAGATGGTTAAACATTTTAATATTTGCTAAATAAGCAATATGAAATATGGAACGGATTTTTGTAAATTTTTTATTAATTTATTATACTATATTATATATTATACAATAAAATTTGTATTATCGTTTTTAAATAACAGTTCTTTTTAATATTCTATAGAGCTTTTAACCAATAAGCACAACCTTTCTTTATAACTGATAATATATTTAAAATGATATGATCACATATCGCTTGCGAAGCAGCAAATTCAAATAAAAAAATTATGTGAAAATTTATTTATATTTTTTATTCACACTCCAACATATATATATCGTTAGAATTGCCGATCCTCCATTGGGCAAGGTAATCTGCTCGGACTGTCTGGGTTGTTTGTTGTAAAATAATGGGATTGAAATGAAATCGGTAACACCAACGCTAACCTATCCGCGGATTCATGATCAGATTTCGCCAGTGATTATAACAAATCACAAGCTCTACCTGCAGGTTTGCATTGTTTAATTTTCTTTAATTCAGCAAGAAGTATTATTATTAATTTCTAAGGGAACCTATTACAGGAATTTGATTTAGCAAACTAACCGGATAAGTACACTTATCGTAATTAAATAATTTTAAATTTTAAAATTTAATTCGATGGACAAGATCATACGTTTAGAGTATCAAAATGTATCTTTTAGAATATTTCCATTTATTTCAAAAAGAGAAAAAAAAAAAAAAATGTATGATTGATGATTCATATATGTAGTGGTGTGAAAGAATTCTAATAAAAACGTGTAACACAAATGATATAGAAAGATACTCTACTATACAGAAAAACGAACCTTTTAAAAAAAATGATTTCATATTACAAAAATTTTGGGGTGATCCAAAAAGTATCAATCAATCTATCTAATCTATCTAATAAACGTCGAAACAACAAAGAATAACGAATTATATTTGTTAATAAATAAATAAAATAAAATGTTCATAAAATTTAACTTTAATATATTATATTATATTATATTTCTTTTTCTCTCTATATTCCCAAAACCCCTGAATTTTAAAGTTTGAAGATTATGACCATACTGCTGCATAAGACCCTTTTAAATCAAGTTGTAACGGACCACCTCCAGTAAACAATTTAGTGCCTGATTCATCATATGAAAGCGCGTAAATTGCATTTTGTATGGAATAACCGGCAAAGTGATTCATATAAACCGTATCCCGATTCTATTAAATTAAATAAAGATTATTGAATTTTTTCTTTAAAAAGGGAAAACTTTATTATCATTATCATTATTATTATTATTCTACTTACCAACCAACCGCTTCCGGTTTCTTTGTAATTAAGTGTTAAAGATTTTTTGGCGGTAGATTGCGGAAGGAAATCCAAATATTGTTGCGCGCGCAAATCATAAAAAGATAATCGTCCATAACCTCCACCGGTCGTTATAATATGATCATTAAAAGATAACGATCTTACACCTTAAAATTATAAACATGTGATTAATAATAATAAAGATAAAGAAATTTATTCTCTTGTTAAAAGTATTTACCACATCCTTCATCAACCGAACCAACCTCATGGGCTATTGATGATGTCCGGGGGTCAACAATTGTTATATGCGCCTGAGATCCTATAGCAAATAAATTCGCTTTCGAATTCATTGATAGGCACACATTTTCATGGGTATGTGCCAACTGAATTTTTGTAACCTACCATGACAACAAAATACAAAATATCGTAAGTTGACGTCATTTATTAAAATGGAACCGTAATGAATTCACATATATATACTTACTTCATTGAGATACGACGCATCCCATAATCTCACATATCCTTCAGTTGAAAGAGTCATGATTTGCTAAATTTTTTAAAAACATATGAATATTTATATATATTATTATTAAAATCCCCCTTCTAAAAGGATATGAAATGAATGTACATACCTCAGTTCTAGGATTGAATTGCAAATCTCGCACCCTACCGCTAAATTCCGATCGAGTGAGTAAAGGTTGATGAACATTGATATATTTATTTGGTAACAAAGGCATTTCAGAAATAATCTTCGATTCGATGGACCAAAGCCGGATAGTACCATCACGTGATCCTGAAAAGGAAATAATTGAGAGGAGGAAATTAATATACATTATTACAATTTAATCAGAATCATGGTTGTTATGATCCATACCTGAAACCAAGTGATCATCATCAAGCCATGCGACCGAAAAAACAAGGTCACTATGACCTGAAAATACGGCAATAGGTTCAAATGATGGTAATTCATAAACTGTTACTTGGACAGGTTTTCCTGCTCCTACGGCTAAAAGTGTCCTTGAAGGGTTCACTGCGATACTACGTATTCCCGAACAGTTTCGAATTTCTTGTGGCGGTTCCCTATTTTGTTCGCTAACTAATGGAATTTCGAACCTTTTGTTTGTTTGAACATTAAGGATCAACAACTATTATATAATATATAATGGATTATATTAACTTTTGATTCTCTTAATTTCTGATTTGTGTGATAACATCAAATTTTCATACCTTATTACATTTTGATCCTACAACGACTTCATTATGTGATATCCAATGTGATGAAAAGATTTTATCATGATTTTCCAAACTAATCTCTTTTTCTCTCATTAGCTGCGGTATTTTATCGGACTTATAACTGGAGTAATTCCTAGGATATCTATATACATTATATAAATTAGCATGATGATTGTTTCACAAATCATTTTATATAAATATGATAATATGATAGGGATTCTTTTTTTGTTTCCCACCTTGATCTAGAAATTCCTAGTTCTCTTTTGTACAAATATTCGGATATGTTTTCATTATGTTCTTCGAGATAACTATTGATAAAAATTACACTTTTTTAGTTAAACTACACATGATCGATGTAAGAAATAGAAATTGTCAAGGTGTCTTCCTCACCTCCAAGGTTTTGATTCTGGCTGTTTGGAAAAGAACGACAACTTGAGGATCGCCATCTTGCTATTTCGAACGTTTCTAAGAAAAGCTCCTAAAGAGACCTCCACGTTTAATACAAACTATTCAAACAAAATAGCAACTTGGTTGCCTAATCTGTAGGTGTAATATAGATCTAGACCGTACTTGTGTTATTTAAAGGTATATATGCTAATAAAAATTTGTTGTTTTATTTTTGATTGTTCTATATCTTTTTATCCGGAAAAGACGTATTCCGGAACCGAGGCGTTTGAAGATTGGAAATAGATTTATTTGTAAAAAAAATCGGAAGTTAATGAATGGTTCTAAATAATTTAAATTTTCTATTATGGCGAGATTAAGGAAGAATAAGAGAGAAAAAGAATGTATTGTTTACAAAGAGAACCCTCAAATATACCCGTACAACGGATATGTTACTGTTGAGAAGGGTTCAGTCGAAAATATTCAATTTTTTATTTAATTTTTATTTTTTTGGAAAGGAAAGGAGAAATAGAAATTAGTGACCTAAATATGCAAGCAATTTATGATTAACTTACACAAACACAGAGGTGTTATTTCCAACGAGGTTGCAGTATTACATGATCACAATGCAGACAATCCAAAGGGACAAATTACACTGCTTTTGTTTAGTTTGCTTAAATTTGAAAATCTAGACCAATTGAAAAATTACTTTATATTAAATTAATCATTGTTTCTTTGTGTTTTAAGGAATTTCGATGGATGGCGCAATTCAAACGAGAAGAATGAGATAAAAATAACATTGATAAGTTGATCTACGACTATATCGAAAATTCTTTTTATAAAACAAAACTAACCTAGGTTAGGAATATTGATTATCATCAAATCAATTCACGAATTTTCTGATTGACTTGTGTTTCAGTTAATTAAACGCTAAGTACTGATTGTTTCTATAGTAGGCAATTTATTTCTAATATTTGAATCTTATTGGTAGAACAAATTGATATACAGGGAGAATAAGTGTGAAACGTTGATTTAGCCAATTTTTTTAATATAATATATTTAATATTAAGGATTGGTTTTAAATAAACTTTAATACAATTCAAAAGGTTTACCAATTAAAAGCAGTAAGGAGGTAGAAATATTAGGGAAATCATGTGATTTTAAAAAACCGTTACAATGGTAACGATCGAATTTTCCAAGAAATTTTTATTTTCCGATACACATCTACCCACATGAATAAATATGAATGTATATATGTGAATCGACCACCAGAGTCGCTTTATTGATTCAGAATACAAGTGATTCTGGTTAGCCATGAATCATACATTTACAAAGTGAAATATACTAATGCCTGCGGACCAACAGTTTATCGTCTACAATATTCTGGATAGAAAAGGTAAAAATGGCTCAACAAAATTAATAAAGTTGCTCATATCGGGTTTATATTATAAAATTTGCAAAATAATTTCTTGTTTTATTATTGAGAGAAATATGCAGTACTATAGCAAATTACAGGATATTAATGAAAATTTTAAAACTAGACTATTTGTGATTGATTTACTAATTTTTAAAACTAGGTTTAGTATTAAGAATAAATTTTATATCCAAATTTACTCGGCTATTATGTGGTCTTTGGTTTGGGAGGGAGAAACGGGAGTAGCGGGAGAATCCTGTTTCAGTTCGGTTAATCCAAGGTGCGCCTTCACATAAGCTATGTCTACAGCAAGTGTATGGGTTCGATCATCTAGCTTATTCAATCGATCATCTATCTTGTTCAATCGATCATTTAGCTTATTCAATATCTGGATTGAATGAGACGTTTAATATTAGTAATTGTGCACTTATATTAGGGAATGATCATTAAGTAACTGTAATCACTCACATTATCAAGTAGGCTGACCGCATCTTTGATCTCCTTTTTCATCATGCTGAGCATTCAAATCGCGCCTCCTCCGGTCATACTAATAGCTGTCAACATCAATCCACCAAGTTTAAGAAGTTGATTGTCTTCGGTGCCTTTAATGAATTGTAAACTTTCGGTGCCTTTGGGTTAATAAAAAATTAGTAAAGGTCTACTCTTATAAATGGCAAATGGATTATTTTTTTTTCCAATATTGGTCCTTGCTGAAATCTTATATCACTCGGTTTGTCCCGCTAAATATTATATAAATTATATTACTTATCATTACCATTCGTGTTTTGAACTAAGGATCTAATTGGGATGTATTGTTGTGTGTATTTTTGAGCTACGTTTCTTAACATTTTCTTGCTTAATTTTATTAAATTTGTTTTGAGAGTGTTTAAGAGTATTTGAGACTATAGGGTATATATATCTTTTGTCATAGTAAAATAAATTAATCAATAAATTAATCTGTATTGAATAATCATCACTTATAATTTTTTTAGTCGCACAAATTGATCGTGGTACTGCAGTATTGTACACAATCCTGACTCAGACCCGTCAAAGAACGATACATTTCCGTCGATTACAAATAATTAGATCTTTGCACTGACGGACTGTCATGTATTACAAAACTACCCCAAGGAGCACCCAGAAAATCTTCGATCACGTGACATTTGGCCCGCATTATGTATAATCCCTAATCCCTGACCTAACCCAGCATAGCGGACATCACTTTGCCGATCATTTTCCGATCACATATTACTTTTCGTTAAAAACCATTAAAATTCTAAAAAAAGTATGTGATAAAAGTAAATGCCTAAATAATATAAGTCATTTTATTGTTACATAACGAAATTTCGGCCGATCATCGGATAAAAATTGATGGCCGAAACTGACAAGGCCGAAACCTGAAACTTTGCACAAACACATAAAAAAAATAAGACCAGGTTTCGGCCCATAATACAGGTTTTTTGCTTATAGAGAAATTAACCAATTATTTACTATTAAAACATTTTTAATAAAGAATATATTTATTTCATACCGAGGGATACCAGTATCCTCCCTTATAATATGCTAACAAATCCTAACTAACCCTAACAAACCCTAACCCTAACTCTAACTGTGACAAATATGCGTGAAACATAAGGTTCCGCACTCAAAAAAAAATAAGTTTCCCGAATAAATAGTAAAAATGAAAACTTGAGGATGTGATATGTATCAGACCAATATTTTAATATTAAACAATTCACGTGATACAAAGAGGTGGTTATTGATATCCCCCATTATTTTCAATTATAAATAATAAATAGAAATTATGCTTTATACAAATTTCTTTATTAAAATTAAAAGGTTTATAAGTTTATTTGTGAATTTTAAACATATATTATTATTGAGAATTGATATATAATAGCATTTGTATTATGTAATAAAATGATCAGTCAAATTTGTGATAAAATAAAGATATTTGCTATGCTACCTAACCTTAAATCTAAGGGATGTAATGGTTATTTGTATAACAAATATGATTTTCACTACTGTAAAAATTCAAGTTCCTAGAATACTTATAAAAATGGAAAATACAAAAGATGTAATACAGGTAAAGATGGTGCTGTAATAGGTATCCAGAATGTGTTATCGTTAAACTAATTTAGAAATCTTGCAAGTCGTCTAAATGAAAAAAAAGATAAAATTTAGCAAAATTATATTAAAATCTTATTAAAAAATCTAGAAAAGGTAAAACTATGTCAAAGCTTATAAAAATGCGAAACTATATCAAAATCTTAGTAAAAAATTAGTGAAATTATAGTTTAGATATTTTGCTAAATTTATATGAATTTAGATAAGCAACTTTAGTTATTGTGATAGTCTAAAATTATATAATTTTTACGATTTTATCACAAAATTGCGATTATAGTTCTGACTGAAATTAACATAATTTTGCTAAAATTATCATTATAAAGTATACTAACTAATTTTATTTAAATCTATTTTATTTAGTCATCTATTTATAAATTATAATTTTCACATTTATAAAATGAATTTATCTAATTATTCACTAACGAGTAAATTAATAACAATATTACTATCTAAATTAAAGTAAAAAAAATTAAGCATTTTAATATTTTTCTCTTTTAGCATTACTCTTCTATCTAATAATATGCTCTTATAACTAAAAAACTACATTCAATATCCATTCCAGATACGATAACTATATATATATCAAAGCTAATAAATTAAGTTCTAGTAATAAATTCAATTTACCCTGTCAATATTTATCTAAATCTTTAAATTCTTTAATAGGCTCATTTAATTTATAATAAATAACCTATTCTTATATTAAAAAATTAGTAAAAAATTTAAATTCTTCAATGATTTTATAATCTTCTATATTATTATAAGCTGTATTAAATTAAATAAATCTTAGATCAAAGCATTATATTACTTTAAATAATAGTAAAGTAGGATAATTAGATATATTTTTCACATTTCTTATAAGCTAACACAAAAGCTCTAGAAAATAATAAAATAAATATTTTCCTATTATAATTTATTTCATTTAGAATTTGTTCTATTTCATTGATGTTTTCTTTTTAATAAAAGAAAAGCTTGAAGATTTATAATAAACATAGAAAGCTATAGCTTTGTTTTGTATTTTAAGAATTTTAATTTATTAATCAATCTAAATAAATTCAAAAAATTATTAATATAATGATATTAATAAATTTGTAATATTTGTAATTAATTTACCTATTATAATTATATGTAATAAAATATATAAAAATTTTAACATATAAAATTTGATCTTGATATTCACAAAAAGTTTAAAGATATCAAATAGTTTTTGAATTATGATTAATAAAATATTTTGTATTAATAAATATATAATTATATAAGAGTATATAAGTTTAATCTAATATAAAAATAAAAATTATAAATTCTAATATATTTTTACAGGTAATGATGCTAAAGTAAAAAATTCAACATTATTTTATATTAAATGCTTCTTTAAACAAATTTTTTTTGTGAATTATAAATAAAAATTACTTTAAAATTCATAAATAGTTTATCAACTAATTTAAATTTTAAAGATTAATCCAAGTTTTTTCTAATTTGATTTAGAATATATATTAAGTAACAATTGTATTTTATTTTTAATAAAAAAGAAGATAAATGTAATATGCTAATTTTATTTTATATATAATGCATTATCAAATATAAAAAAAATAATATTTTGATGAAATATTATCCTTTAAACTGTAGAGCAAGCAAATTTGCCTGTAAACATAAAAAAAAAGTATTAATTTTTTAATAAAAATAAAATATTAATGTTAATAATATAATTATTATATAAAAAATATAATTTAATATATATTTTATCAACTTTATTAGAAGAAATTTAAGTTTA